AAGCGTATAGCGCTGAAGAAGGCGTCAGCTGCACGACTGTGGGATTTGAATTGCATAGCGACTTTGGACGATATGTGGCACCACATTCGTAACCAGGTGACAGCTGCTGCCGAGGATACCATCGGGCGCGAAAAGTGCAAGCGGTTCGATTGGTTTGATGATAATGCGACAATTCGCGACTTGGTGTTTGAGAAGAAAGCAGCATTTACAGCACATGCGGTAGACCCTACTAAGTTGGGGAAGAATAGTCAGTTTCGCGAATTTCGACGACGGCTGACTCGAAACATCTTCGCATGAAAAATGCATAGTGGACGGAGAAGGCGATACAAATGGAATGCTAAACTGAACGCAGCCAACACACGGAATAGTTTGACTCCTTGAAGTCAGGGTATGTACCGAGTTAGGAACCGCTGGGGACGCTGCTCGATGCTACTTCAGGCGCTGCCTGCACACAGAATGCAGACATGACGCAGACTTGCAAACTTAATTTAACTGTCTCTTGAACAAGCGTTCAGAGGTTGACTGGCCTACGTTGAACTGCGTGAAGCAGTACGAAGTCAAAGGGAGTCTGGCGGACGCGCCAACAGTGGATGAGACGCAAATAGCAGTTGCTCAGCTGCGGAACTGAAAGTGTGCCGGTGTGACTGGATTCTTCCTGAAGTTTTGAAACAAGACAGATCTGCGTTGGTTCCTGCGCTGCACCTCTTGGGGCAATGTGCGTAGATGGAGGAGGAGGTGCCTCCTGAGATGAAGGATGTTATTGTGCTATCAACGTACATGGGCAAAGAGAGCATGCAGTCTGCAACGAATTACCGTGGTCTTAAATTGCTGATTTGGGTAGACAAGGTGATTGACCGATTTAAGCTAAACCGCCTTGTCAGTCAGGTTGTGGAACCGAACGTGTAATCCGTTCGGGTCGCAGCACCATCGATATTGTGCTTGCTGCTCGTCATTTGCAGCAGAAGTGTAGAGAACTGCACCAGACACTGCACACGCTGTTTGTTGCTTTCACCAAAGCATTTGGTACAGTGAACCGCGCGGCACTGTGGCTGGTGTTGGGTAAGTATAGTTGCCCGAGCATGTTTGTAAGTTTAATAATAAATCTGCACTGTGGTATGATGGCGAGCATGCTGCGGATTGGACGGACCACGGATGACTTTGCAATTGTCTCTGGAGTGAAGCAAGGCTTTGTCATAGCTCTTGTCCAGTACAATATTTATCATGCCATATCATGCCATATCTTTTGCGTTTGATGCTGCTTTGCTTACGGTTTTCGCGTGTAGCAACTTATTGATGGTATTTTGCTAAACATCCGTCGTTTCAGTGTGAGAACTCTAGTCTGTGGACAACTATTCGTATATTGCTGTTCGCTGACGACTGCGTGTTGTTTGCACACAGCGCCCATGAGGTGCATCACATGACCAGTGCTCTGACAGCGGCCGAATTCTGACTCATCATAAACACAAGCAAAACTGTCTGCCTCTGTCAGCTTTCATCGGAGGTTCAGTCGACAGTAGTGCCGCGAATCAGCATGCGTGATCGGGAGTTTATGGACGTTATTGGGTCCAATAGTATGTTTGAATATCTCACCTTACTACAAAGCAGCCCGGTGGTTGGCAAAGCTCTTATAGTAAGCTCCTGAACACGCATTATTTGAAAGGCACCTTTAAATTGGCGAATATATAGGGGAGAAACAATGTTCGACGCAGAGCTCATGTATTCCATAAACGTCGAGTCGCTTTTCACGTATATGCCAATTTCTTTTGAGCCGTAACCTCTCCGTGGGCCTTCCTCTGGAGTACCTGAGAGACGTGCTATTATTGTGCACTGAGTATGTGCAATTGGAGGTTGAAGGAACGGCTTACAAACAGATCGACGGTGTCAATATGGGTAATCGTTTTGGACCAGTTCTGGCAGATATCTTCTTGGGTACGATTGAAGTGAAAGTTTCCGCTTGCATAGGTAAAGGAAAGCTTTATAAGCGCTATGTAGAGAATATTCTCGTCTGCACAAATATGAATATTTCGACCGTCTTCCTGCATTCATGAACTAAATTCACCCAAAGATTTCGGTATCACAGAAGAAGGAAAAAGAGGACAGACTGCCGTTTCTGAACGTGCTCATCAAAAGAAGGACCGATGGCACACTGCAGCGCACTGTGTACAGAAAAGCGACCTAGGGGGACAATACCTACAATATTCCAGCTTCGCCTCAGTTGCATACAAACGCGGCCGCGTAAAAGCTTTCTTTTACAGGGCCAGCCGAATCTGCACTCCGGAATAGCTCAAGGCTGAAGAAGAGTTTTTATACCGGACTCTGCTATCCAATAGGTATTCAGAGAAAATTATTCAGACGCATGGTAGACTCCACAAGGAGAAGCCGCCAGTAACACAGCGGAGAAGAAGGATGTTTGTTTGTTCACACCGTTCAAGGGGGATCAGGTGGCAAATGAGGTTGGCCACAAGCTGAGGTCCGGTACAATGCGCACCTACTCTACCGCCTAAATACGACCTATCCACACTACACGAAATATTCCTCTCCGCAGCCGTCCGAGTAGCTCGCCAATCAGTTTGGCCTCTAACGTTATCTACTAATGCACTTGCAGTTGCGGTGAATCTTACATCGTCAAGACTGGTCGCCGGCTAACTCAAAGGATGGCGGAACACTTCCCATTGTGGCTAAGGTAGTTGCTGTCTCACCAAGGCTGCGCGGAGCAAAGGATGAGCCGGAACCCTGCCTCGTCTATCACCAAACACCTAATGAAGACTCGTCCCGAGGTGAACCCAAGCGATGCATTCAAGTTGCTATTGCGCAAAAGGAACCCGAGATTGTTGGCAATTAGCGAGGGCTACTGAGATGTTTGAATTGTCCTGCGCCCTGTGCCCAGAAACAACTGAGGCAACCAATTAGATTGCCTTGGAGCTGATTGCGCCATTCACATAGTTTTATGTTTTCATCCATCTCACTAATTGCGAATCATATTTAATGCCTGTTTTGTTCTGCCTGTATTACGTAGCAACAGAGGAGAGCAATCGAAATGTCAACATTTCGCAACCTATGTTGAAGGTTACTCATTGTTTCAAATTCTTTATCGGTATAATGTTGCATGGAGCACATTAATGTCGATCATGCCTTGTTCGACGTTTCCTAGCCGCATCCTTCTGGGACTAACAGCCAAACGACTTCAAGCACTGGTTTTTCTGCAGTAGCCTTATTCCTATCCTTATGTAACATAAGCGGTTGCTTTCCATACACCTCAAATAGCTCTTTATTACAATGTATCGAAGTGAGGTTGTTAAACTAGTTTCTCAAAGATTGCGGAAAAGAGGTGGAAATTTCACCCGGGTTCAGCTTCCTGTAATCTATTTCGTGCATTCGATGAATGAAATGAATAGGAGATTTTGGCATCTTGCTCTTTTCTCTGCCACCCTAGCTCTCTGGTGTAGGCTGCCGGCTTTTTCTGTGCTCAAGGTTTAACAAAATGCATGTATCCATAATAGCAATAAGATTGAGCAACATAATGGGGTTCACTGGTATTCTTAAATTTAGCAATTTAACCAACTCCTTGCGAGATTCACTAAACACCAATGTATTTATTTTGATCACTTTAAAAAGTAAGCAGATTCGTTCATGGAGACCATGTATCTAAAAAAAATTTTCAAGCGTCAACGTTTAAAGAAACTTAGTTCGTTTTTTTGTTAATCCCCTTTGCAGTGAACACGGTGCCGTTGGCGTTGACAGCGCAATTTGTCCGTCTCTATAGTATAAATTGTTCAATGGATCATTTATTCAATTCACTACATTGTGCAGAGCAAGGTTTCGGCGGCATGCGTCAACCTTTTGCGCAGATGACAAAGCTTTTGATTCAAAGCCAAGCATTATTGTGCTGCACCAGATACTGCAAACACTCATTTGTGTTGCGCAAAACCGTTGATCGCCTCCGTGCATTAATTTTTCATCATACAGAAAAGTTAAGCCTCACTTACCTTAACAAAATAAAATATTAGTAAATGTATCGCTATGCCCATTAAAATGAATTCTTTTACACAAGAAATGGTGTTGACAGTAGTCAGGATATATTAATACGAAGCTGTCTCTGAATATCTTAAAGATAAATTGGCATGCTAACATTTGGATGATATTCACTTTCCAAATATTCAAAACCTGTCAGTAAGGTGAAGTCAATTTAATTATATGAATTGTTTAGTATTTAGTGATCTTATCGAAACAAAAATGTACTAACTTAAATATGTGATGATCTTAAACTTTTCAATAAATACTTCCTTTTAACAAATGCAATTATCTGCGACGCAGTAACCAAAATTTGAGCGTTGGAGCCGCCTTATACAAAGAAATAAACAATTTCACTTAAAATTTAAGCACACAATTTAATTGTCGAGCCTAAAACTTTAATAGGTTTAGCATACTAAATACTCATAAGCCAAAGCTCATAAAAATTACAATATATTATTTCGTAAAATTGCTGTTTTTCTCTTTACATTTGTGTAAGAAGTGAGTTTCTTTAACCTTTATGTACCTGGCTAAGATAAACTATTTATTTGAAAATTAGTGAAAGCTGCAAGTTTGTGGGTGCTGTGGCATCTAATTTCATCTCATCAAGCGATGCATTTTATCGCTTCCCGTGAGGTCATCAAGGTTGCACTAAACACACTAAAGGTTCAGAAACCTACTTTTAATGATAAACTGTAACAGAAGAAATATGACGCTGCTGAAGTTTTATACCACTAGTATTTGACAATCAACATTGTTTTGTTTATGCTGCTTTCCTCACACTGGCAATAAGTACCTGTAGAAAGCGCCCCATTCAAGGAATGTGTAAATGTTGGTAGTTTTCACCGTTGCTAATTAGCCGCTGTATACAAGAGGACCAAAACGTCGTGTTAGAAAATGTGATTATGTAACTTTCAGACAGTTATAACCCATATATCCTAGGTTAACTCCTTCTAACTGAAATAAAAATCAAATAGATCATAACTGACCTTCCGTCCACGCGTTTCATATCTGACTGAATCCGGTTTGTAAGTGACGTGCCGAGCTACACTGTTCCCAGTTCCTTTGGACCGATCTTTTTCGGTGTTCAGTAGGTTTTGCTTCCGGTCTTTCTCTGTGTCTTCTTCCATTGAGATAGCGGATCAGTGAATGCTGCAATGAAAGACAATTCTGAGTACTGACCGTTTAGAGTACGGAAATTTTTTATAATTTTAGTAAGGTGTGTGAGGAAATGCAAACTGCGAATTTAGACATTATTTTGAGAAATTATGGGATCTTTGCAGAAAATGGATATTTCTTTGCCCAAACAACTTAGAAGACGGTTTTGTTAACGAGGAAAGTACTTGTAATTTCCGCAATACAGAATTGAGCCACGGAACTGGACAATTCAATTACGTTCAAGTAGTAAGACGTGGCTGTGGACAACAGCAGTATAAAGAGAACGAACAGTAAGGGCAGATAAAAACGAGACGTTTGGCTACTTTAAGGAATATTTTCTTGAATGCCTTCAACAAGATTTTGCCAAGCTGAGCTAATTGTCATTAGTGGATATCAGTACTGGATACGATAGATGACCATTGCTTATCTATCTAGATCCGGAGGATCCAGACCTATTCTATCCTCGGCTTACAATATGTGCAATTCTCTGTTTTCGCGCCGCAGTCTTGCAGGCAGCCAATTCGACCTAACGCTCGGGATGATGCTACTTAAAGCAACACCCTATTTCGGCTTGGGCAAGCAAGTATACCGCGCCTTCTGCGGAAACCGGGTACCGTTCTGCGTCGTGTCTTCTTTTAACGACAACTGTACGTTCCTTGGAATTCCATGGTTTTCGCTAGCTCTATTTCTATATATAGACGTTTGCCATTGTAATATATATAAGCAGGTTATCAACATGTCATGATGTGGTAGCTCTGGCAACAGATGAAAGTAAGTCTGGGCAAAATAATCAGAATTAGTTGCAACAAACTTTGACAAAGGTTTGCTTCTTTGACAGCTACTAGTAATAAAGATATGGGGTTGAAATTTATTATTCCTAGGTTAGACAGCATTATGTTTAGGCATTTTGGCACGTATACTACAGGAACACCCCCTGAATTTTCATCGGATAGCAGCTAGAAAGTGTTATAATTTTATATCGGAAATTAAATTCGTTGCCGATGAACAAGGCTTAAAATATTCTGGAATTCAACCTTCAGTTCCGGCATAGGAATTTATGTTTCACATTTCTGGTATCATTTTTCATAGAATACCAATCAACGAAGCTATCGTAAGCCCTTCCGTTTATGGTTATAGAGAAATAATGAAAAGCTTCCCATCGTAATTAAAAAGTGAAAACATCAACAGCGTTTTTCTGTGTCAATGAGAGCGAAATCGGCTCCTAATCGCAGTTTTTGTAATGGCAGCTCATAAGCACATACAGACCATGTAACTATACATATTTTTGACGATCATATTCAGCGTTTCAAAAGAGATTCGATAAATGTGTGAGAAGTCGGGAAACGATATAAAGTAAACGTATATCATGAGAACCTGACAATTTACGCACTTTTGCTTCCCTTATAATTATTTAATAAGTATACGTGGCTTTCTACGTTGTTGAGAAAACCAATTTGGCTGAATTGTATGGGTGAGGATATAGGGAAAAGATTCCGATAAGACTGCTATAACGAGTTAACTGCACGCATTATTCTTAATCGTGCAGTAAAGTCTATGATAAACGTTAGATTCCAAGCCCAAATTTTGTCGAAATGATTGGGTTTTTGTTAAGCAAATTAGCTTCTTTACACTACCTACTTTAATAATGTGATCGCCTAAGGAACGTACCACTTTATCTGTTACTTTATATTTCATATCATTATACATAAGTGTTATCAAGCAATGTATTATGACGAGTGCAGCATAGATGACGCGATTTTGCGCAAACATCTACGAAGCAAAATGTATTGCACATGGTACTGCATCATCTATTTCGTTGACATGCTTCCTAATATTTCTCTACGTCACAATACAAGCTCTAAACCAATGGAGGTAAAAATTATTAAGTGCTAACATGTTGGTAGCAAGAAAACTCGAACTTGTTGCTATAGCATGAGGGTAAACATTACGTCCGGCTAGTAATTCGACAAGTAGTGCTATTCCATAAACAAGACAATTTCCGCCGATTCTGTCCTGCAATATGGGATCATGTTTCAGATAAATTTTGGATCTTGAGAATATTTTGTAGCGACGTTGAGTTATGAATTGGTTGCATTCTTACGTCGTTAAACCCAATTGCTATGCCATATTAGATATGACCGCATATGTGACCTCATCTAATTCGACTAATATTAGTGTACTTCCGTTTCAAAACTCTCGGGACACGCAGCTGCAAAAGAAGGTGTCGGGGCCTTCAACTTCGGCTGGGCTCTACAATTCTTATACGAAATAATTAGTAGCCCACACGCTTTTCGGTTCGGAGTCAAACCCATTTGTTTAAACATTACAATATTTGTCCTGCATCAAGTGTTATGCTCGTCTACACTTGTGACACCTTGAAATGTTTCGCTGTTTGCGCACAAACGTTGGGCTATTCGAAAAAAATAAGAAAGTAAGAAAGCGAACGAATTCTACTTAAAACTCCTTGCAGTATTACGCGTTGCATTTCGCAGGAAACTTCTTGTAGTTACCAGTTTACCTCTTTTACTCAGTGCCAATATATGATGAATAATTAGAAAATTAGAAGTCTACAGAAGTGTAAAAGGTTTTTACACAATCTCTCAGGTTCTGCAGATCAAACTGCCTTTGTTCTTCTGTTGAAGGATTATTCTTCAAGACATACGCAGTTTACTCCATAAATGGGAAAACGTTTGCTTCAAACACCACGTATTCTAGTGTTCCATAGGGTTCATTTTATCGCTATTCCTATATGCTATTGACGTTAACGTAATCCACGTTTCTAAAGAAGATTATTTGCTGAAGTCTTTTGATAACGTTTTCCTCGGCTTCCATCATCCCAGAATAATTACACCAATCAAACTACTTAACTCCCTAGACATACTCACAGATTAGCCCAAATCACATTGGAGACCGTTGAACACCGTAGAGAGTAAATACATCCTTTTCTCGCTGGGCAAAGTAACCATCACCACAAAAATCTCAAAGCAGCGCCCGCAACATTTCACTGATGCTGACGATGTCAGCAAAATACATGGGATTGACAATCATCAGTGGAACTAAGTGATTCTTACACGTGATAGAATCATTCAGTAATGATTTTGACTCACATTCTATGTTGCACTTCTCAGACATTTCACCTACCGTATTTTGATCCGGCTTTTTATCACCGACTGCGTGTTACCCTACTTGTCATATTAATTTTTCGTTAGCTCTCCTGGTCTTCTGTGTAAGTACATCAACGTATTTTCCAGGTCACGGAAATATTTGACCTAGCAACCACCACTTACGTCTGACCGATGTGCGCCGCTCTCAAAGCTGGAAAAGTACAGAACGCTAACCAACCTACGGGGTCAATTAACGATACCACTGAGAAAGACAGAGATACGAAACCAAAAAGACTCCAAGCGAAAGGCATTCGCGGGTTAGGAGAAGGTCATCGAGTAGTTACAATCGGGTCTGGATTGCTCCCACTGTTTAGAACGGTATCATACGAAACGTGCAGATGTGTCCCGACAACGGGTAAAAGAGCGAAATAACTCGTCATATGCACTTTGGTTCTGTACTGCGTGATTCACCATCCCAGTCGTTAAGTGCTTGTTTAGCATAGCTCAGAAATGCGGCTGATTAACCGCAGAAGCCTAGCAGAGGATAAACGAGAATATTACTTATTACTTATTACTTACGCACCACGGAAGCGTAGAGGCTTCTAAGCAAAAGAATGCTGCACAATCCGCTTTCCCTGAACGGCTATCAGCAATCCGTTGTCTTCTCCAAGTTTAGTAGAACGAAGGGCGAAAACGGAAAGTACCTACGAGAGTCAAACTTACAACAACGAAAATCAGGCACCAATCGAAAAATCTGGTTAAGTAAATTCCACTAGACATGACATCTAGCATTAACAAGAATGAAGCAGCCGAACACCAACCCTCGGTACCTGTAGCTTAAATGTCTCTTGTTGAGAAAACGTCCCCGCTGGAAGATTTAGTTGGATATGCAGAGATTGCTGCAAAGTTTCACCGGAAGGCCGCCGTTGCGGCTTCTTCTGTTGCGAACTGAGTTAACGCGAATAGAGAGACAAAGAGCAAACAATCATCACTTGTCCGAAATTCAGGAAAAAAGAGTACCATAACTTGTAGATCAACTCAAATGGGATCTAACAATAGTCCTCCGGCCTGTTGTATGCTCTCTGAATCTACCGTCATCACATTGCGTAATGTTATCGGACGACCAAAATCACTGGAACTCGTTAAGCTTGCTGACGAGTGTCAAAGTCAAGCCCAACAAATTATTGCGAATTACTCTTCAACAGAACTCGTTACACTATGGAGAACCCAGTCTTATTGAAGTAACACTAGAATCCTCCACCGACATAGAAAAGTTTTGCTCTCCACAATCTTCATACATGGCGTGCCAGAACGTCCTTCTAACGATCTTCAAGAGACCGGAAAGCGAGTTTTAGAACAGTGGCGGTTCATTCGTGAACCACTTTCTTTGGATAATATTGTGGCACTAACGCTCACTAGGATACCTCTCTCACCAAATTACAGAGGTTGCGGCCCTAGAATCCTAAAACTTGTGGTTCAGCCAGAGCAACAAGCAAAGGATGTTTTGGATCAATGTCGCGGAAATCCGGAACATCTTCCTTCTGAATTTCTTTTAAAGTTCACGGTTCACGGTTCAAATATTAAAACACTTGGAGCGGCAAGTATACGCAGGAATGTACAGATTCGTAACCTGACTGCTGCTTTAACTTTTTCTGAGGTAGGTATAAACGCATATTGGGACGCATCTTGGCCGAATCAAGTTTTAGTCTTGGTATCATTATTCCATCAAACAATCGAATAACTGCCGACCTCCCATCGGTCGGCATTCTCCCACACTTGACTTCTCCACCCCTCTGTTGGCTGCTAAAGACCGAGAAACTGGCTTGAATGTATACGAATGCTCAGACCCTTTTTAATAAACTAGATAGACTGAAAGATCCCCATGCTTCC